TTGAGTGTCCAGTCTAGACTTATATTTCCTAAGATTTGGCTTAATATGTAATTAAAGTTGTTTTTAAAGTGTTTAAATTTGATTCCTGTTTTTAGAATATATGAGCTTTTACATAGAAAATTAATTATCAATGTCATTAGTTTACTTTCAGAGCTGAGTGATCTAATAAATAGGAACCTCAGCTATTAATAGTAATTTTTTTAATGTTTATTATTGACAAGGAGAGACAGAGCATGAGCATGGGAGGGGCAGAGAGAGAGGGAGACACAGAATTCGAAGCAGGCTTCAGGCTCTGAGCTGTCAGCACAGAGCCCGACGTGGGGCTTGAACTCTCAAACTGTGAGATCATACGCTGGGCCTAAGTCAGACGCTTAACTGAGCCACCGAGGCAGACACCCCAGTGCTTTTTTTTTCTTAAAGGAAAAGATTCTGTCCCTGTGCAGAAACAGAAATTTTCTCTGTTTAGCAAAACTATAATAGAAAATAGTTTTATTTTTTGTTATATTTTTAAATAAAATATAATAGAATATATTTATAAAATATAATAATTTTATAAATTAGCAGTACGAAATTTAGGATTGCTGTTACAAAATTTAAAGTGAAAAGTTGTATATCTAAATAGTAATATATTGGCAACAATGAATCCACAAGTAACCATTTTCCATTAAGTATCTGAAAACTTTCAGAGTGGTTAATTAAAATTTGATGGGACTGTTTTTTATTGCTTGTCTAGTTGAATGGCAGTTCCAAGGTAAGAGTCTTTGATATTGTCATCTATGTGATGTATTGTAACACTAACAGGACTTATGCTTGTGGGACCTGTTTTTCATTTGCTCTTTACATAGGTAAGCACTAATACAAAGGATGGAGAAAGGAAGTCACTTAAAAGATTCATTTATATTTTATATTATCAACAGATGATGTGTCATTAGCCACTACTTAGTAGAGAACCATTTTAGAAAATTTAGTCCTTGTTCTCAGAAGGTCACATTAGAATGTGACATTATATCTTGTGAACAAGATATAAGCAAAACACAAATATATTGCATGATGTGAACAGACATCTAAGACAAAAGAGTACTTTTATTTATTTTATTTTTATTTAAAAAAAATTTTTTTTAATGTTTTATTTATTTCTAGGAGAGAGAGAGAGAGAGAGAGACAGCGTGAGCAGGGGAGGGTCAGAGAGAGAGGGAGTCACAGACTGAAATAGGCTCCAGGCTCTGAGCTGGCAGTCAGCACAGAGCCCGACGCGGGGCTCGAACCCACGAACCGCGAGATCATGACCTAAGCGAAAGTCGGACACTTAACCGACTAAGCCACCCAGGCGCCCCTATTTTTAAAATTTTTTAGAAGAGTAATTTTAGAGTAACATTAGACAGGCCATTGTTAGGGGCTGAAAATAATGCAGCTTGGTGGGAAAGATCTCACATAGTTGGCTAGTAGCACATTACCTTTTAGTCTAGAAAACTTTTCACCCTTTCTTTCTTTGCCTTAAAGTGAATTAGAGTTGGATTGATGGAATGTCAATAAGTTTGGGGACGTTTGTTAACTTTGTCATTGCTAAAAGTTAACTTCTAGGAAAACATGTAACTGAAAGCGTATTATACACTTACCAAGAGCTTTAAAAATAATTTTGTTAGTGACAGTGTATTCTCTAGAATACAATTTCTTCAAGATATAAACTAGTTGTTTTCTTGCTGTGTGATCTGCTTTTATGGTTATTTTTAAAGGAAATGAAAGTATTTGAGGAGTGATTGTTTATTCAGTAGTTATTTTTGAAGGCATGATCCACTTGTAGCTTTGTTTTTTAATTTTTTCTGTTGAATAGTGATTACGGAACATCTTTGCCATTAATCTGTGTTTAATTAAAAGTGATCTTCAAATAATATTTCAAGTAAATATTTGAACACTTCCATTATTTTAATTAAATTTAACCTTTCATAGATGCAGAATTTATTTAATTATTTAAATAAAATTCTAGGATACACAATTTACATGAGAGTTTGTTTGGAGATTCTAGCAAGGGAACGCACCTTCTCTTAATTAAAAGAGATTCTTTTGAATGTGAAAAATTCAGTGTCTTGAATTCAGAACTTCACTTTGGACATGATACACATGGAAGAAGAAGGAAGGCAGAATCAAGCCAAGTCATCCTTAAGTCTAGTTTGCTGAGTAGATAAAAGTGTTGTGAAGATACTACAGGTTATTTTTTTAAGGCCCTGCAAATTGTGATGATATGTCATTCTGTTAATTGTTTAGTTTCTCAGTTTGTAATCTGGAAAATCTTGCCATGGTCTCTTGGGTAAAAGTCTTGCAGATAGCATATCTTACCCATAGCTAGATTCCCACAGATTTAGTGTCCATTCCTTCTGTTTAACCTTAGCCTAAATTTTGTTTTTTGATATCTTTGTTTCCTCTCCTCCTAAACGGGCTTTGTTATATTCTTTTGGGACTTTTTGATAGCTTTATTTTGAAACTTCTCAAATTATTTTCTTTAGCCGTGTCAAACGTATGAGAAGGTTTAAAATAAAGTTGACACAGAAACCTTGTAATGTTCCCTTTCTTTAAGATCCCGTCTTTCTGAAAGTCTGGCTGCCATACCTCTCATTTTAAATTATGGAATGATCTTACTTAGTAGAAGCCAAACAAGATTAATTGAGACTAGAGCCATCTTGGGGAGGTGAATTTAAAATGGTATGTGAAAAGGCTGAATTAGCAAATTTTAAGAATTTTTCTAGATCCTGAGCAAGTAATGGGAAAAATTTAATTTTGCATCTCATTCTCACTTTGTTTACAGTACACAGGAGCTTGGGTCATTTAACTATTTGTATGATAGTAGCGATAACTGTAGTAATAATTGTTATCATCTGTACCGGTCTGTCTACTAATTTCTGCACACAGATAATCTCATTGAATCCATGATAACTACTTGCTGCACACAGATTATCTCATTGAATGAATCCATGAGATAACACTACTATCATATAGTATGAATGGTACTACCATTATTGGTAACTTACAGAAGAAACCCAGATTTATAGAGAAGTTAACTTATTAGCTAGAAAGTGATCTAATTCATATTCCCCTGACTCAAGAGCTCATATTCTTAACCAATAGGCATCTTGCCTTCTCTCCAAATGGCTAACAAATTGATGTTGTCTCAAAGACAAAGTATACTGATACACTGTACCAGGAACTTTTTTAACCCAAAGAACAGAGGGAGCAAAGGAAAAGTGGTGGGGAGAGATTGAGAGGAAGAAGGAAGATTTTAAGTATTCCTATAAATTTGTTTTTGTAGGTAGTAAGGTTTGATTTTTAAAGAGATATTGAGTTATAGAAATAGTTGTATAAAGATTTATAGATGCTTTTTTATTATTATGTATATAGACAAAGGTATGTTTGTCAGAATGGTTGACTTTTGTAATCCAGCATGTGGACGTCTTCTCAGATTGTCATTGAACTGTCACTATAAAAAGATACTCAGATTTTTAAAAATCATATTTTTATATATAATTAAGATGATCTCTTTTGTGTTAATTCACCAGTTGGTTTGTTTAACAAATATTTTCTGAACGCCTACTTTGAGCCAAGCATGTGTCAAATGTTAGAGACTGATTTAAAGACAGTAAGACACACTCTTTGCCTTACTGATTTTACCCCAAATATGTAAGATAATCAAGTAAACATTTATAGGGATAAATAAGCACAGGGTGCTGTGTCAACACATAGGAAGGTATTGATCCACTGTAGAGATCATACATGGGTTACAAGAAGAAAAGGACTTTAAAGTGTCCTGAATAATGAATAAGAGTTTCCTATCATGATATGTACAATTTCTATTGGTTAATTAACCATAAGAATATTATTAGAAATAGCAAGGTGATCTTTTTAAAAAATTTCCTATGCCTGGTCATGCCCTTAAAGATTTTGACTATTTAGCTTGGGGTAGAGTCCCTGCATGTGTATTTTTTAAAAAGCAGCCCAGTTACTGTGTCAAGCTTCTATGATTGGAAACCACTGAAGTACCATTTGAGATGTTGCTCCTAAGACAGTGCTTATTGACAAGAACGCTTTTGATGTTGCTAGAAACTATTACTGGGGAAAGGAAGATTTGAGATAAATAAATAATTAGGAAGCACAGACTTACAATGTAAAAAACAGAAAGATCCTTCTACATTAAGATTAAACAGCTTCCTTAGGTAAGACTAATCATTCCAGAAAAACTAAAGAAAATTAAGATGTCTCTTATATTCTGCTGAAAAATGCTCAGAGTACAAAATGGTTCCCATAGACCCACCACTCGAGAGTCCCACATAGAAACAGTAATACTGATAGGAGTTAGACACAAAAGAACATTCGCTCATGAACAGACATATAACTACCCAAATATGAAAAAATTATAATGGTAAATGTATGAAGGAATTTTCATGGGTGGCCAATAGAAGAGAACAGATGAATGCCGTTATGGCTTTCCAGAGGAGAATGATTGGGTAGATAATGAATAATCAGTGAATGCAGGATTCCAGTTCATCATGCTTACTTAGATGGTAGACCACACATTGTTTTTTTTCTTTGAAATTTCCTTGTGAAGAGGAGGAAAAAGGTTGTGTTATTATCTTTTGTTTCTCTAATTAGAGAAAGGCTTAAAATGCAGCCGGTGACATGTGAATTAATGGTTAACTAGAACCACAAGGAGGGTTTTCTGGGTACTAACAGACAGATCTAGATAGATCTAGATTGGTGTCTAGTCCCTTTTTCTTTAATTCATTTGATTTCATTGTTGAGAAAACCATGATCAAGGTCCATTAAATGAATTGCCTACAGTAGCACAACTAATTAAAGGTAGAGCCCGACTAAATTTAAGGCTGTTTGCCAATGAGATCATTACCCTTTTCACTATGGTACATTATGCTTTTATGTTTTAGAATTTTATTCTTGTATTTTGAATTTTCTAGTCTAGTTTTCTTTTATTTTGTATTGCAATTTGTCTCCTGAAGGTCAAGTAACCTGGTTTGGTTATGAAAGTCCTCGTAGCTTCTGGGACTATATCAGAGTGGCTTGCCGGAAAGTTTCACAGAATTGTATCTGCAGCATTGAAAATATGGAAAATGTCAGTTCTTCTAGAGCTAAGGTAAGACATAAATAATAATATGCAATGTATATAATCTAATCCTAAAAACTTTTGACCCAAATAGAAAATTCTGAGCTCTTTGCTAAGTGATATTTTTTCTTTGTTGGGATTAAGCACTTGACCAAGTTTGACATCTTTTGTAGGCTTGTTTTGATTTCTTTTAATTGCATGTAGTTATTTTAAAATTCTCTTGAATCTTCACTGTGGCCTTATGAATAGCAAAAAGGTTTATAGCTAGTTGTTATGAGTTTTTTTTTTTTTTATTTCTAGGAGAGGGAGAGAGAGAGACAGAGTGAGCAGGGGAGGGTCAGAGAGAGAGGGAGTCACAGACTCTGAAACAGGCTCCAGGCTCTGAGCTGGCAGTCAGCACAGAGCCCGACGCGGGGCTCAAACCCACGAACCGCGAGATCATGACCTAAGCGAAAGTCGGACGCTTAACCGACTAAGCCACCCAGGCGCCCCTATGAGTTTGGTTTTTTATGAGAAGCACAATAAAATTTTTCCTATTCTGTGAAGTTTCCACATTTTTTGAGTTACCTAACCTAGTGGCTCTCAGTGTCCTGAAGAATCCTGGAGGTCCATAATGTCAAATTTATTTTCATATAGTACCAGGGTATTATTTGC